ACCAACAATGTCAAAAGTGGGATACGTGAAGCACCCACACCTGCCTCCACCCTCATTTGCCCCACTCTCTGCCCTTGAGCAAGGCCCTTAACCCCCAAAAGCTGCTTCCCCAGGCACCCTAGACAGCACCTCTCTGCTCCACACAGAGGGCTGTGGTAGCTCAGCGGTCTGTGGTTGTGTCAGGAAGGACATCGGTGTAAAAACAATCATCAAGCCTTTAAACAAGTTAGTTCGCTGTGGCGACCCCTGAAGACGGGAGCAGCCGAGAACAAATAAGATAAAATTAGTTTGAGGTCAGTATGTGTATGAGACTTTTATTTTGAAAGGCTCAAGGAGGTTCCACTGATTGACTCTGCTGCAGGACGTATAAAGACTGCCCCTCAAGCAGGTTAAAAAAAACAAAAACAATGAGAGACATGTTGTGTTAATTTGTAGTTTACATCTTTAACCCTTTACTGTTCAAAACAAAGACATTCTTTACCTGTTTCAAATTTATTTTATGCATTTTAAGATTACAACTTTAGATTCAAAACTGGGAACCAAAAAATAAAAAAGACCTTTATATCCTATCTTTAAAAAAATACAATAAAATAAATAACAAATACATTTTTAATAATAATAATAATTATTATTATTATTGCATCTTGTTTGTTCAATCGAGGCTTTTTCTCACAGGTTAAGTTTAGTGAAAGCAGCAAGCTTTTTATGATTCCTGTTTCTTCACAAATGTTGTATATTTTTTATCTGGTTGGGTGATGTCATGTTGTGGGCCTGAAGGACATATCTGTCCCGCAGACAGGTGTCCTGACCTTCTGTCTGCACTGCCACGCCTCGGGGGGCCTCTGTGAAATGGAGGCTAAGGCTTTGACCTCATCTCTCATCCACTGTTTGTGTCTAAACGGAGCCCAGCTGCAGATTGAATGAATCAGAACACGGGGAGAGGGATGCATTTATGCATCACCTTTACTTCAAAACTAACCCCATGTTTTCTTTTTTTTATATTAATATGTATATGTATATATATATATATATATATATATATATATATATATATATATATATATATATATATATAATCAACCATGAAATAATACTAAAAAATGGATTTGTGTGTGGGTCTAGTATGTTTTAAGAAGCTTATTTTTACTCCCATATGTTTATGTGCTACGGTAACATTTCACATGACCACCCTCTGGTACCCACTGGCCATAGCAAACTTGCATTATTCAGAGATATAGATGAAAGCTCCCTCTGATCCACCAAAATAACATCCTTTTGCAGTAATCTGTTTAGATTAGTTTCTTTGATGATATTTTTCCTGCCGTTGGCTTGTCACTGTGGCATCGTGGCTGCTAAAGCCAACCTGAAATCAGTCTTTTCTGCGACTCGATCCTGTAAAACTTTTCTCTTGAATGTATTGATCATGATAGCTGAGAGATAATCTGCACTAATTATGAGAGAAAACTTAAGGAGTGTCTTTAATCTTTATTTCCAGGAACCAATAAGTGAACTGTAACCGCACCAAATTGTTTATTAAAGTCTTTGTTGCAATTCTAACCAGGTAAATCAAGGTAAAACAAATATTTTACACAACCATAGCTACTGCAAACTTGGTTTCACTGGTTTTCTTTTTCAACCTTGTATTAATATTGAACTGAAATTATTGACCATGGAGTAAATGTCATCATTTTTCTTGCACTTGTAAATAGAAACACATTTTCAAAGACGATTATTTATTAACCTGGGCTTTTTTTCTCAGTTGTGGGAAGTGAGAACTCCCATGTTCCTGTTCATATGTCAATGTTAAAACATGTTTTAACTTACCTTTACGCAGTGGTGAACAAAGTACTCAATTCTAGTACTTAAGTAAAAGTATTGATACTCATGGTCAAATCTTACTCAACTACAAGTAAAAGTTGTTCAGTCAAAAGTTTACTCAAGTCAAAGTACTGAAATACTTACTTTTGAAAATACTTAAGTATTCAAAAATACATGCATTTGAAAAATATTCAGGTATTAAAAAGTACAAATTATATTTTCTAATATCAGTACATTGCTGTATTGTTCCGAGTGATTTTTACAGAACCTTGTAACTCTGAAACCACCTGATGATGTATTGACATGTAGAACCGCTCTAACGCCACATGCCTTAATAAAACCTGTGAACTGCAAATAATATCTTCCTGCATTTTACATGTTTGTGGAAAGTCACTGTGATCCCTGAAGGATGATGCACATTTAGTCTTTTCCTCAGCTTCAGTATTTATACACAGCATTGTTTGTGTGTAAAAGTACATATATTGACAGCAACAACAACACAGAAGAGGAAACAGTAACACTGATAACTGAAAATTGAAAATACCATGTGTGTCCATCTGTGCATGTTTTGAGCATGATAACTTGAAAAATAAGTAAGATACCAACTTCCATTTTTATGTGTGGCTGGATCTAGGCATAAAGTTTCTTTAGAAAAGTGGGTTGCCACTTCAAAATACAAAATGGACACCACTACATGTGTAAACCAGCCACATCTATCATTTGAGGAAACTAGGCTTTCTAGTTTTCATACCGCTTAAAAGTAAAGCTTTAAGCACCCCTTGGGGTGGCCAAAATTAATCTACAGTGGCCGAGGCCTCCTTTGGCTACCCCTTGGCTCCACCATTGCACCATGTGGTGGATAAAATTGCTCCTTCCGTTCACCAGGATTCACCACCCTGCACCGCCTCAAGCACGACACAAACACGCCTCTGTTTTTTTACACAGTGTAACTCCTACCCACTTGAATGTCTTGCACCAGAAACATTAATGTTTACTTGCATTCCTTGTTCAGTTCCAGTCTAGAAAACACTCATCTGGAAAATTAAAAACACTCACTATGCAAATCTTTCAGCGATGGGGGACATTGGCGTACCACTTGTTAATGCTAGAAACCATTCTCTACTTAGTACTTTTGCAGGCAGTGTGTCGATGCAAAGTGGACTCCTGCAGTTGGAGATCCGGTTAGTGGAATTTGGACCCAGCAGTCTGTTGGGGAAACATATCAGCGATCTCGGGTTCTCTGTCTTCTCTGTACTTGTGCAGATAATCACCCACTTGTGTGACTGCATGTGAGAAGCCATGGTCGACATGCACACCATTGGCACACCCGAGCGTTGCGGCGTACATCCAGCCTGTTTGTGTGGGTATGTGGTGCTGCACATGCTTCATGCCGAACATTGTCTTCTTGAAACACTAAGCAAATCTTCTCGATGTGATAATTGGCTCCCTGGGGCGCTTGTACTTTTTTTTTGCCGCTCATCATCATTATCCTCTCAAGAAAGAAGTAAAAGTGTGTGTTAGTTGAGATAGTCAAAGTTTCCTTGTTTGTCAGGGAAATTAATCCCAAGTCTGCATCAACTCTAATGCAAATATATAAAATAATAACTTTAAGGTAATGAGACAGGGGGGTGGGTTTCCTGCAGTGTAGTGCATATCGCCGTCATTGGGGCATCAGCTGTCTGTATTCTGATACAATATCTTGGATTAAATTTACCATTTTAGAACAATGTTAGAGACCAGTGATGGATGAGGCTTCAGTTGCAGTGCACGGAAACCAATCAAACACATTTATTGTTTCTGTACAGCAAGAACTGCAGGAAACCATCAGTTTAAGCTAATTGGTGACGAGCAGCTGAAATGCTTTACTTGTTTGGGTATTTTTTGTGTCATGCAGACAACACTGGCTGGTCGTTTGCAACGCCGACACCTGAGCTGTTTTTGTGCCCGAAGGCAAATAAAGATGCTCATCTGGCCAACAGTAGACTCGCATTCTCTCAAAGTCTTTCACATCCATATGTTTCCTGCAGTCTCTGGGGTATTACGGACCACGGAGCAGATTGTTGGCCACTTCATAGGGGAAACAACGAGACAGCTGGGCAGCCATCATACAGCCAAACAGATGTTCAGGTGACTTGGGGAGGAAGTGGAGGTATTTGGCAGGAGAGCGGGAGGTGATGCAGAAGAAGGAGTGTGTTGATGAGGACAGAAAAAAACTGGATTAATATGTTCATGCAAGAACTCTGAGACTTCATTAGAAAATCCCTGTCAGCCTCTGAGGTGGGCCAAATGTTTTCCACGCTCCCCAGGCCACTGGAGTCAGTTTTGTCTCTCATTGTGACACAACAACTCTGGTCTATCCGCTCTAAGTCTAATGTGTTTGATCTCTCGATTATCTGTGCCTAAATGCAAAGAAGATGGATAAGTGGATACTTGATTTGGTGCCTTAATTCTGACATACCTTGGGGAACATTCAGAAGCTAAAAATTGAATCCAAGCCACCAACTAATGAATTGTTGCTTCTGTTTTTCATGCGTTGGTTGAAAAAATCGGAAATCCGTGGCTTAGCGCCAAGCTCGATTCAGTCAGGGGTTCTGATCTGACACAAATCTGAGAAGCAGTTGATGTAATAGCAACTATTTTTGACAAGTGCTCATCCCCTTGTGGTAGTGAAGCCCTTTTTTTTATTATTTTTTCTTTCCTGCGTTTGTCAACTTAAACCCATTGAAAAGTTCTTCGATTGCTGCTGCCAGGCCCCACACATAGCCCTTCTCTCCTTTCTTGTGTCAACCTTTGTTCTTTGGTTGCAGGTCTCATATATAATACATGAGGATTGAGAGACTTATCCCATTCTGGCCATACTGGCTCTTATTCCCTAGAAAGGAGCTATATTTAAGAGCTGGATAGGCCAGAGATGGCGTCGGGGGAGTTGCTGACTCCTACCTAAAAGATGCTGGTGGTTGAATTTCATTAGTCCTAAAATAGAACTTAGCAGAATTGCGTTGTAGCTGCAGTAAGGTGGATTTTAAGGGCTTCTTAACTTAATTTGCTCTCTTTGTAAATATTCCCAAGTGTTTTTTTTTATTGGAAATACATCTGAATACACTGTACTCCCATATCACCATCCTGTTAGTAGATTTTAAATCTGCATTATTTACAAAAGTTGTTCTCATTTCTTGCTACAGCTGGTACAACCTACATCTTTGGAAAAGGAGGGGGACTGATCACATACACCTGGCCCAACAATGAGAGGCCAAGCACACGGACTGACCGCCTGGCAGTGGGTTTTAGCACCACCATCAAAGACGGCATCCTCGTCCGCATCGACAGCGCCCCACGCTTGGGAGACTACATCATGCTACACATTGTATGTATTACTTTAACCCATCAAGAAGTCAGTATTATTCTCAGCTTGACATTTTCTGTTTAGAAGTAGTTGCATATTTCAGCTTTTACAACCATAGTGTTGACTACAAACAAACCTCTTATCATTCATTTATGTTTGGCAACCATCAAGTTAAAATCAGCTTGTTTTTCCCAAACTACTCTATCACGAAGTTGCAAAAAAATAAGCTTTTAACATTGAGAAACACAACTCTGGAATTGAGGATCATTCCTCAGAATGTAACTATTTGGGAACGCAATGCTGTTTGTAGCTGCAGGGAATACAACTTGGTACACAACTAGAGGAAATGCAACTCTGTTTTGTAACCATGGGGAAAGCTACAAGGAACAGAGATCTGTACATAACTGGCAATGCAACTTTGTATGTAACCACAAGAAGCACACCTGTCTACGCAACTATGGGGAATGCAACTCTGTATATAACAAAGTGGAACATACCCCAGTACTGTTCTACTAGAAACTCTTATGTGTAGGTAACTGCATAGAAAGCAACTCTTTATCTATGGAGAAAGCAACTTCATATGCAACTAAAGGAAATGCCACTCGGTACATGACTACAGGGAGCCCAAGTGTGTTTGTAACTAAGGAGAAGGCAACTCTGGATGTAAATACAAAGAACACAATTGTGTTCATAACCACCTAGAAGTCAGTGTTTTCTGCAGCTGTTTTTTTTTTTTTTGTTCTTGTGTAGAAAGCAGTCAAATATTTCAAATATTACAACCAAGGTGTTGACCACAAACCAATTAGAATCATTCATAGCCCCATGGCAAGCCTCAGGTCAGACTCAGCCCATGTGTCTCTAACCAATCTCCATGATTAAATGCAAAAAATAAACCCATAACTCTGTACACCCCAGCTCTACTCACCATCTCTCGTACAGATGAACCCACCTCTCCACTGCATTCAAACTAACTCTTGGCATGAATAATGAATGGAGCTCACCATACATATGCAGTGTTTTCCCACGTTGGAGAAACTTGATGGAAAGCGAGGGGGCCGCAGCAAGATGCAGTTCATAGCCAGTAGACCGAGCGCTCATTCAGCATCTTAATAATTTCACACTGCGGCCTTGCATTGGACTCTTTCGCATGAGCATCAGCTATTAACATAATCATCAACAACCCTCCCCCACCACAAACACCCACATGCAGGAGGTGTGACAAAGAAGAGTTGCTGCTGACGCCATGCGGTAAAAAAAGAAGAAGATGCAATGCTGAGGTGGGGCTACAGTTGCTAAAACAGATTGAAAGTCTTCTTCTTAAAGAGCTTCTCTCATCTCCTGAGTGCTGGCCATGTGGTACAGAAAACCAGCCATCTGTTCCGCAAAGATGAGAGCCAGCAACAAACACTTTGGAGTCTGCTTTACAGTACAGAGCAAGCGCACACGTGGGTTCGCATGTATGCTTAGGTAACAAAGGAAGCTAAGTGGAAAACCATCAAGATGATGATAAAGACTGAATGTTGAATGAAGAATGATAAAGAAATTGTGTGGGTGATGACACCTCTTTGTTTTCAACAATCGAATGCCTTGTTTTTCCCGTTTTAGATAGCATGGCAAAGCTAGCCAAGTGTGATATCTCTTATAATTTGTCTGTGAGTTGCTGAGCGGTGGATGTCATATCTTTCTCCCTTACGCACTAATACATTTATGAATAGGATAGAAGCAAGTGGAGATTTCCTCAACTCAGTCATGAAAACCAGCATTCTGTGAAGTGGCTTTCTTTTTGCTGTGTGGGTAGCGTCTCATCACTAATATTTCAGATGATATATTAACTCCTAACAGTGTATAAATAATAAAGGCTTTCATATGGTATTAATAGTAAATGTAGCCTTAAACTTTAAAAAAAGTAACAAGGTGTTGCACAGTTTCATTGTTCAGAAATTACACTTGAACACCAAACAAATGAGATGAGCTGGATTTTTTCCTGGCCACCAGTAAACAGAAGCAAATATAGACCTTGAGAGAATGTTTTGTTGTAAATATATAGTTCTTTAGAGAGATGCAGACCACCCCATTATCATATTTTTTATGTTTGTATCTAATATTTGTAAAAATAAAAAAAGAACATAATTTGTACCACATTAATTTGTACATTTCTGTGTTGAAGCGATATTAGAATGAAGGTTAGTGCCACTGGGTGTATCGTCTAATTGCAGCTAAAACAACTTCAGTGTCTGCAGAAGGTATGTTTGCAGATCCTTCAAAATTAGCAGCGACTACACCAAAACAGCAGAAGATAATAATTTCAAATGACAAGCATCGGGGTCCTTGCTCTCAGCAGTTTACGTGTAGTAATGAATTTGGAAGAAAAGGTTAAAAGCATTACGCTTGTCGATTCTGGATATATGTCCAACCAAAGGTCCTGTCAAGCCCGCGGCCATCACCTTAGCTTTTGTAATTATTGGGTCACTGCTTGAACATCAGCTCTCTATAGCAACACTTTAACGTCTTTAATGGCTAATGTGATGTGCTAAGGTCACAAGAAAGGGAATAACTTTACCAATCAAGGTTTTAGTAGATTTTTTAAAGCTTATTGATATTCAAGTAAAACCTCACCTGTAGCATATACACATTAAGCCTGCATGCATTTTACAAAAGATGCTATATGTCACACTTTATTTAATATGCAAAACACAGCAGTGGGGGGAAAAAATTCAGAGGAGAGCTAATCGCAAACACTCTCCCTAGACTTGCTCTCTCTTTTGCTTTGCTCATTATCTCTTCCTCGTGATTAGCTTACAGCTTGTTTGGCAACCGTGAATTAAAATGCTGATTGTAGTGTTTACATTTTAACTGCAAAGAACAACTGCACGCTTGGCTTAAAATCCGAAGGGCAATTTGCGGAAATTTGCGGAGGTGAGCGGGGCATTCTGCCACTGCTGGCATCTCATTTAGAAGATCATTTGATCTGATTGTAGAGCAGACAACAGACTAAGACCTCGCCATTTTCTACAAGAAGACGGATCTGATCTGGGCTGAAGGCAAATAAGACTGAAGGGAAGTACATATTTATAAATATGTAACATTCCCAGTTTGTGTTGATGGTAAAATGATAATCCAGCTAGAATGTGAGCTAAAGAGCCTTTCAGCAAGTGGAGCAACCCGTCATTGCTTTGTTTGAACGTACAGTATTTCCTAATTTATCTCATTTATTAAAAGAGAACAGAATGTCATAATTCATCTCTCTCAGCCACGCTCACTTCTCCTCTCTGCATGGAAATCAGCTGATCAGCTGATCTCCGTGCAGAGAGGAGAAGTGGGCGAGGCCGAGTGCGCTGCAGAAGGCAGAGAGCTGAAATCATGACAAGCGTTTAGAAACATTGTTTGGAATATTGCAAGAGTATGGGAAGGGTTTAAAA